CGATAAAGAGCAAAGACTTCACCAGCTACAACGTTTCCAGAAGCTGATCAGTTTTGGAAACTGAGCTAAGCTACATGTTTCCCAAGTGCTGGCTGGAGGAAATATTATGCATAACTGTACTGTAGTAATGCATGCAATAATGGTGAGGAGCCATTTGTGAAAAGCTGTGCTGCTTCATTGCTCAAGCTCATTTTTCAGTGTTTTGTTGTTCTTGCTTGATTTCACTTTAAGGAAAAACAGGAAACCATACAAAAGAAATAATTCAGCTAGATCTGACTATTTTAAAGATTCGGTGGAAGCCAAGCAGCTTAAAAGCGCTATGTTCTGTGGTACCAACTGTCCTTTACATGCAGTTAGTAGAACTGATTCTGTTCAAAGGTGTAATGTATACTCAGTACCAGCATTTCCTTCAAGAAATACTAGGTGTCAGGCAAATCTGACAGGGGGTGAAAAAGTTCTGCTCGTTTAATGCCTATCTACACAGTGTGATAAGCAGGTTTTCAGCACAAATGTACACTGTGTATACACATAAATAGTATTACTAGTTTTTATACAGTTATTTGGCAGGGCTAATTCTATGGGAATTAGGCACCTCCCATGGACATTCTTAACTCCATTTCATGCTTTATTATACATCTCAGTCACTACTCCATTTTTTGAGAACCATTTTAGGCTACAAAAATCATTCCACTATATTAACTCTATGACCACTACATATCAGTCCTTCTTTCCTGGACTCCTCATTGGATGCTCCCTCCTCCAAAATGGGAGATGAAATATGTTAAGTAACATTTTTGGTGGGCTTAAGTATTTTTTTTTTCCTTCATACCTGAAATTTTCCCAATTAATTCCATTGACCAAACTACAAAACAGATTTTACATGTCTCTTGACTTTTTAAATATACTTTTTTTTTTAATTACAGCCACTGTAGTTACTTCTTGTTACTTTTGTAATCAGTGTTTTCAAATGCACCTTTTTGCTTCTGAAACATGACAGAAAAAAAGCTTAACAAACCCCTGTGCTATGTATTTATTTATAAACTGATTTAGACATCATGATGCAGCTTACTGGATTCTCAGTGTACGTATAACAGAGGTTAACAAATCTGCAATATGACTTCACGTATCTTTCTCCAGTGAAACTTCTTGAATCTAATGGGCTGTTGCGAATAGGCAAACCAGGCATGTAGAGCAAAAGGCAGATTATGTATTGGAACGAATGTAGATGGAAGCATTTTCAAATAAGGCAAATGGAAAGACAGCAGCTTGAAAAACACGTTTCCAAATAAACTTTTATATGCAAAAATCTATATGCATATGTCTATATAGACATATATAAGCGTGTCAATAAGCAAACTACACTTAGGAGGAATATTACTTCCAAAGACGTTACAGCACTTTAGACTGTTCATTAACACAGTACTAGCATTCCCAATAAAAGAGTCAATTTTATTTCAAAAAGGTCACATCAATAACATTTAAATATATACTTGAAATTCTAAATAAGTACTTTTATAAAGAAAGCATCTCCAAACCATTTCTACTGATAAGAAGCAGTGAACTGGTTATTTTAGAATTCTTAAATACAATGGGTTTTTTTGTGTGAGAAAGAGATACTTTCTCTGACACTGTACAGATCAAGGAGAAGGAAAATGAAGTTTTTAGCAAACCAGTTTACTGAGAAGTGGGATTAGGGTGTGGTTTTTGTTGAAAAGTTCACTTGGAGATTTGAGTGAGGACACTCATCTGCTCTTCTGAAAAAGAGTCAGCTGTTACTGAAGAGCTGCTGGTTATTTCAGGCATTCTCTTACAGAAAAATCTCAAAAGAACCTTAGCTTCGAAATATCTACGTCCTTGACAAATCCCCTTGAGAAGGAGAGCAGAACTGCAAGTCTGGGAGTTTTGCATTGTCACTGCCTCTTTGCATTCACTCTTCAATACATAACTGGAAAAAAGTACGGAATACTTGTGCCAGTCGGGGAAAAATTGTTAGCAGTAGCAGTGAGAATCCCAAACAGGATCTCGTTTGGGATGTGACCACACTCAATTCACATCATTTGCTAATCTATACTGATATAGATCACCTAAGCTGCAGGTAAGCCTCTTTCAATTGTCTGTTCTCTTGAAAGCTTTCTGAGGTGTAATCCCCAATTTATTTGGAAAAATCAAGAACTGGGCAATGAATTACTTGTTAGGTACTGGAATTCTTTCTGTGGCAAAGGAAACAATGGAAAGCCATGTCATTCATTCTTGTAACCAGTCTGTCACAACTGGTATCAGGAATTTTCTATCAGTATCCAGAGATGAAATTTTGCTTGATTAGTGCATCCAAGAGTGATTCACGGGCCTTTCTGGAAGCAATGTAATTCCAAACCCAGGAAACTGAGGTTCTACTTCCCAACAGTATTTGCAATTGCAATGTACACGGAAGGTCTGACTGCAGTGCATACAGACAATCACAGGTTCTTCAATCTGACTTACGAAGGATCCTGCAACAATATCCCAAGTTGCATAAATTTCCAGCCCTATTTAGGTTAAGTTTCACAAAACTACACAGTCTACACCAAATCCCTTTCCTACTTCTTCCCCACAGCTGTTTACAGCTATTACAGTGAAGAAGTCTTTTGTTGAAAATGGATTTTGACAGTTTTTCTTCCATTAAGAAAGAGATTGTCTGGACTTGTTGGAGGTGTCCATACAGGTGCTGGAAACACAGACTCCACTGCCTTTCAGCAAGCACGCATCAGATCACACTGGATTGTGATGTGCTTATGAGAAAATGATACTTAGGCTGAGTAAAAATGAGTGACACTCCTGGAAGTAAAATCACCATTTCTTAAGCTAGGACAAGCACCATACTGGCAGAAAGAGAGAGTGGGGTCAGTGAAAAAGCTGGAACAAGGGGAAAAGAAAAAAATGCAGAACACCAACCAAGTAGGAAAATACCCATTCTCCTCAGTGGATGAAGTTAATCAATTAGCAACTTAAATGGAAAATATACAATGTAAATAGGAAAGTGACTCTTCAATACAGAACACAGCTCTGCTGCCAAAACCTGCAGATGGAGAGAAAAGCTTCAAGACAGCGCTGTGATACATGAACAAATCAATACTTGAAGGATTTTCCTGTATAATAAATTCAAATCCCTCATTTAGGCCTTTAAATTTTTAGTTACTTTACTGCAATCAGGAATGGCTTACGTGAAACACATTATTTCTTCACTATTTTAAACCGCATTTTCTGTTTATTAGTAGGAAAAAAAGCAAAAGTGTGGCTTTGACCAATATAGGTTTTTGAGTTTGGTTATATACTTCTTTACTGAAGTTTTAGTACTAAAATCTCTCGGCCCAAGATTCCTCTTTAACCTTGCCTACTTGAAAATGCTGTCTCATAAAACTGATTTCTAGAGGCTCTACCCAAAAAGATGTTTTTACTGTAACTAATCAGACTGACTTACTAATAGTTCTGTTCGCTGCATAAGATGATGCCAACTAATTGATTAGCAGTTACTTCTGCATAATAAATCCTTTTTACCTCTTTGTAATAAATTCTAGTAATCCAACATATGACTACAAGAAATTAGCTTCTAATTTCCTTTGGAAACAATAGTCCGAACAGCCAAATGGCAAGGGAACTTACTAGCAATTTTATCATGTTCCTAAAACTTAGTAAATCATCATAAATATCCAGGTTACTCTTAGACTTGGCCTAACAGTGCAATGTCACGATGACCTATTCAAAACAGAGCTTCTGAAAGCCCTCAAACTGACCTTATCTTACTATTATCTATTGTGGTTGACTATCTAGACAAGGAAAATGGGTGCAAATGGACAAGAGAATTACAAGGCATAAGAAAGATGGAAAGAAGTTTGTCTCTGCCACATGACTATTTGATAGTACCCTCCTAGAAAGAAGCAGAGGGTTCGAATTTCTAACATAACTATAAAAAAATCATTCTTTGAAAGAAGTGCAGGAATACTAACACTCCAAATTGACTTGTTACAGAAAGATACTTGCTTCTGCTCTCCAAAGTAAGAGATTCTGCTGAACAAACCCAATGGATTAAGTAATTTCATGATCAAGTAGAAACAGGCAGTGTGCCTACTTCCAGTTCTCTGGAACACAGCTAGCAGAATAATTAGCCCCCTTGATTATTTCACTGAGTTTTTTGTTTTGACTCCTCATCGACTATGCCCAGTGAATAACATGCATACATATATTTTAATACTGTGTCACTATCTGTAAATTTAGCTTTATTTTAAAAATCATACCATTATAATAAAACAAATTCATTTATAACTCCCATTATAGACTTGGGCCCAAAAAAGAGAGAAAAATATCCTAGCATTTTAAGCTTTTAAAGAGTTTACACAAAATACTCAACTAACACAAATATGATGAACAGCAACCATTATATAGACTAGTTTTCTTCCACCTATGTATTTATTTTTTTCGTTAAGGATGTCCCAGCCAGAAACCTGAAATCACACAGATCAGCTCACTAACCACTCACCTCAGTTTCATGACAGTTAAATTAACAATAATCAAACAACAAAACCCAGCAGAACAGGTGCAAAATAAGTCTTAAAGTAAGCTTAGTTGCCTGTGAATCATTTCTGAACTTCAAGAGGTCTACTCACTTCAAAATCCACATTGAATAAGTAAATATCACAACAGGTATCCAAATACCCTTGAAAGGTAAACATTGTAATTCATGGACCACTAGTACAGAGTTAAACTTGTAAACTCATTTTCCTTTTTGTAACTGGCTAACTGACCTCTGGATTATGTATCATATTTCTCTACCAGTTCTTTAACGACAGATGAGAGACATATGTAAGATAACTGAAAAAGATTAACAGTGTTTAAAATTAAAATTTTTCCCCATTTAGAAAAGCTTCTATCTCTTCAGTCAACTTCATAACATACTGTCAAATTCACACTGTACTGTTCAGTTTTCTGCTAGCTTCATGGTAAAGACAAATTTATTTCCTGTTTACCTCATTATTGAAGGAATTCTCTTCAATTTTTTCAGTTTCTGCCTCTGCCAGTGGGTTTTTCAGGGTCTGCAAGAACAGTGCAGCTTTCCTTTTGCGCTCTGCTTGTAGCTGCTTTTCTTTTGATTCTTTGGAGGCCTGTGCAAGCTTCTCTCTTGCTGCAGCTGCTAATCTATCCTCTAGTTTCTGCTTTGCTAAGAAAGACAATTAAGCATTAAGTTTAGAGTGAGTCATGCTTTGGGAACTCAGGTTTCCTTGCAGCAAACACACACATCCCAACATAAATAGCCAAACATCCCTCCAATCATTCTCAAAACTTTCTAATGCATCCATTCAAAGACATAATAAGGACACAGGAGCTTGAAATTACGAAATTCCAAGCATCTTAATTTATAGATATATCATTTGCTTGATGAAAAGCAGTACAAGTGAAGTAAAACTTTTTAGGCTTAAAGAAAATGACCTGAAAATCCAATCCTGGAAATTCAGTATTTTTGTCCTTTTCTATTTACAAAAGCTATCTGAAAAGTAGCACTGTAAATTCAGAAGTTTTTTCTTTACTTGTTAAAGCAATGCAAACTCTCCCATTTTGCTCTTTCCACCTATCTGATCTTTACCTTATATTTTCCAGCCCTATTCACATATATTTTAAAATGTTTAACAAAAGGCTGCTTCAGAAATTTTCAGAAACTGTTTCACCATTGTTACAAGCATCAGTTATTGTTACACGATTACAGAAAGTGAATAACCCAATTTATTTAGCTATGCACTTACTGGATATCTTGTCTAACCCTTTTCATCTTACACTTTCAACTTTTGTATTCTGTGTATGTATATGACAATGGGCTTTTTTGTTCAATTGCACACCTTTCCCAACATACAACTTATTCCAAACGTGTTTTACACTTAATCTTTATTAGCATACAAAATATTTCATATTTGCTTTAGATATGTATCACCGTAGCATACTCTGTGCTACTAACGTTTAGCAAGGAACTGCTCCTTACGAGAAAAAAAAAAACCAACTTATTGAAAATGAAAAAATTAATTCCTGTGGTATAGTCATAGTTGTAAGAGAAATATTAAGTTTCTAAGCTGGTAAACACTGACAACATCTCCACTTTATTAAACAATCTCTGTTGTGAAACGGCCTTGCGGAGGAATGGGGGAAATTTGATCCCCTTAAAAGATCATTTAATTCAAATTCACACAGTACATCCCTTCTGCCCTTACGTACATAAACACAGTAACAGAAAAAACCTATACAAAGACTTAATGACATTGTATTATAAGAGTAACAAAATATCAACAAGGTGTCATTAGTCTATACGGGAGTGCTATATAACTGAAAAATAGCTGGAAGCATTTTGTTGTTCTCTGAAGAAAGTGAGAAACGGACATGCCTTTTTCTGGGCTCTGTTAATGTAATCTGGAAACTAGAACTTTAGTGTTTTACTCAAGGTTGTAATGGAAAAACAAATAAAATTCAGAAAGACCATGCATTAGGGCAAAGTACTCAACTCCAATGTGTTACAAGTTTGATTTTAGCTGAGCAACCAATGAAGACTTGGCTCTTAACAATAAGCAGGGAACTGTAGGAAAAGAAAAGAATTCTGATTCCTGTAAACATGACACAGTGAAGGTTCAAAATACCTAAAATGCCATACTTATTCACATGACAGTTTTGTAGTTTGCCTGAAGGACTCAATCTTTCATTTTGTTTTCTGTGTAACATGGGATACCTTGTTTAGCTTCCAACTCCTCCTGTGTAAGTTGAGGTTTTTTCTCTTCAGCAGCAGTAGAAGGAGTGGTAACAGCTGGAGTATGGTTTGAAGCACTACTAGCATTCTCCTGGCCTTCCTTGCCCTCTTCTTCCTCCTCATCACTATCATCATCTAATTTAACGCGGTTTTTCTCCAAGGGAAGAAGGTCATTTTCTTTGGCCTTGATTGCAAAGCTTATTGGAGCAAACGATGCTGTGAATGAATGGATAAGATTTTACACATCATTAGACTACAGTAGAAAGTGGGCCAAATTTCTTGACTTTATCCATTACTTGAACTACACCACAAAAAAAAAACACCTCGCATCATCCTTAAGTTATGCTATTCATTTTGGGGAAAAGGACAACACAATCTATTTTTTACTTTTTTCTTTTTAAACAAATGTTGGAAACTTCATTTGCCCTGTAAAGGTCTATCTCCAAGTCTTTTTCTAATACTTCAGTAGCAGCAGGGAAAAAGAAAGACTCTAAACCATCTCAGGAATTACATTTCCTAAGATGAGATAAATAAGTTCATATTCAGTCCCAAATAAATTTTAGTTTCAGTACTTCTGCTTTTCCCAAATGAACAATCTACTCTTCCAGGCTTAAGATGAAAATGTTTTGTGCTCAGGCTCCTATCTGACACACTGCTGTATAATACAGTCCCCTATGTTTCCTTCACACTAATTCAATGGCTTGTGCAACAATAGCATTTGGCAAGCTCGCAAAACAGTATTTAAAGACTTATTTCCATCTATATGAAAACTAATTACTCTGGGGAGTTAACAACACTTCATTACGGGAGACATAAATGCAAAAGTTAAGTACTTTTCCCCAAATGTCTTAGCTAGTCTTGCTGTAGCAAGTCAGGTGGTCAACTATTCCTTTCAAGCAGCCCCTACTAGTCCAACACAAAAGGACAGCACAACACATTCATGCCTGCACACTCCAAGGAAAAAGAACGCCTACAAAAAACATGGAATACCACAATAAAAAGGAAATTGTGGATCATTTCAAGCTAGGTTGTATTCATGGATCTTCAAAAAATATTAGGCATAGCTAATATATAAGTCTGAACTAATCCTTTTGCCTCACAGAATTTTCCTTGGAAGGTTTTTTGAGAACCATTTTCTGAAAAAATACAGAATCAATCTCTAAACCGTTTATCCAAAATGCAACTTCTAAGAATGAAGAATGGAATTTCTCACACATCTCAAGCAAAGCAACTACCATATGGTCTGCTGCAATATTTGTCTTTCTCAGGATGCCTTTTGCATATATATCCTATAAGATTTGAAGTAGGGAAATTTAAATACAATAATTAGGTTACATACCAAGGTTTATAAAATATAAACTTTGCATCTTGTAATTCTGTGGTAGGGAAATAGGCTCAGAAAAAAGAATTCAGGAGTATGACAAAACAAATCCTAAAATGGGATTTTACTCCCTCAGAGGCAGAAGAAAAATCCAGTGCGGATGTTATGTCTGTCTTGCAGCCAACTACCGTATTTAGGTTACAAGAAAGCAGAATTTGTACCATATTAGAGGAAATTAAAATAAGTTTATAGGAATAGGATTGTCATGAAACAACTGCTTGGTTACATTCCATTATCTAAGTTCCAACAGATTATTATTCTGGAGCGTAAGATCCAGGTTGTCATTTACTAATTTACTAATAACACAACAACAAGAAACAGTATCATCATCTGTTGTATATTACATCCTTTTAACAGAGCATCTTCAAAGACAGGGAAGATTGCTCCTTCCCTGGGGAAGCTACTCCACCTTCCCAAAGAAGAAACTGCAGAGTATGGACAGCCAGACAACCATGGCAAAGAGCTTGGAGCTTGCAGCCCATCAAGGGAAACAAATTGCAGTGAGGACCAGGAAGAGAGAAGAATTCAAAGGGAGCACGGGTAGTAGATAAACTTATCAGCAATTATGAAAGGCACTGAAGCAGCAGGAAGGCAGCACCCATCCATGGGAACACAGGTCAAGAGTGATTTTCCTATTTCGTTTTTGTTGTTGTTTTTTAGTGGCTTTCAGTTCTAGTTAAAAGTTTCTGCTTTCTACTGAAAAGAAGAAATTTTAAGATGTCTTTTCCTGATAGGCCAGGAAATCAGTCCCCAGGTATAAATAATTGCTTCTCCAACTCAGGACGCTAATAGTGTATTAGCTGACTTTGTTTGACTGGCTTCCAAGAGATCCTCCCATTTGTCACTCTGCTGCTATGACTGCACGAGGAAAAACATTCCACTTAGACATGAAAAGGGTCTTTTTTTCCAGCATGACTAACGTCCAACACAGGAGGACTGAGAAACTGAGTAATAAGCCTAGCATACTTCCTCTGTATGTATGGTTTCAAAGACTACTGCTTTTATTCAGAAGGAATAACTTCTTTTTGGAACAGAGCTTGTAAGTTTGAAATTACAAGAAATAAGATTCTACTGGGGTCACTGATGAAAGGCTTCAAGTTTGCACAAAACTGAAATAAAACAATTTATTGTATCAGACCATGAACACCTGGTAGTCTGATCAGAAAGAAATATGAAAGCAATCAAATTACTTATTTCAGTCCTCTTTTAATGCTTCCAGTGACAGTATTTTCCACCTGATTAAATGCTTTTTCCTACTTTCCCCCTGTCTCTCCCCCAGCCTTATTTTTTTTCTTAAGTATATGCCAATAAATATTTTCATGTCCAACAAATCGTGCTAACATACCTTTCACCAATTTACCATCACTGACAGTTTTAGAAGGAGGAACATCCTTTTTAGTTCCTGGAACTCCCTTAGCACTTGGCTCAGATGTGTCTTCAGGTGCATGTTCTTCTGCAAATTGAGTCTCACTTGGTGTATCACCAGCGGTATCTGCTGGAACATCTTCAGATGAAGATACTCCCTTTTCAAAAGAAATGTGCAAGCTTACTAACCGGGTAGTTTACAAAAGAATTAATGCAGTCTCTGTGTCAGCCATTTCAAAAATCACATTATCAGCTAATCATGTAACAGATCATTTTACATCAATATGCACTCATGACCAAAAGTCTGCTTCTTAGAAATAATGCACTGCTTCATGTAAACTCACAGGCTGCGAAAACTACCGCCCTACAGTAAGAATGTGTTGTTATTTTACAGCGAAGAAAATGTTCCTCAGCTGATACACTTTTGCCAATAACTGTTTTAAAAATTGTTTTTAAAATTAAACCCTGAAAGCATATACTTCTTTCCCAAACTTATTCTTTTAGGTCTTGATCTCCAGGGTCCAGGACAAAATGCATTAAAGTTAATTCACAGTGACAGAATGGAAGCTCATGACATTTTTTTCCTAATGTACAATTGCATGATACCTTCTTTACAAAATGAAGTTTTACAGGCATCAACACAGGTTAACTTGTTTGCTTTGTTCCAACATTTTGCTGAAGAACATTGGGCCTATCAATGTTTTCTGTGGCATTAAATAGATGCAGTACAGATGTGCTGAGATTTTCAGAAGAGTAAGGCATTACTGGTTCTACTATTACATGACCAAATAACTCAAGATAACCTCTAAACTCACAGCATAAAATTTTTAAGCAGGATATTATACAACATTAAAAATATTTACATGGTGAATCAGGGGATTACATTAAGTAATTTAACATTTAAATGAGCCTCTCTCAGTAAATAGTTGGGTTGCTTTCCACTGGCTGCTGTTAAACATACTTAACGTTGAAATATCAGGTATTGAAGAGCTCCTTTCACTGCTCCCTGCAGCCATTCCGTGACCAACAGAACTAATTTCTGAAAACCCTCAGAGGGGAAAAAACACAAGGATATCACAGACTTCATCCTGTATTTACTGAAGCCAGTAGTACAATTTCTTATTAACTTTAATGGCCAAAAGGAGAACAATCAATGGCATTAGTTGCCTATACGTACATTACCAAAGTATACAGCTAATACTGAAATAATTATTCTATAAAATTAAAGAGAATGGCATTATCTATAAAACCATGCAGCAGGAAAATATGCATTGCTACACATGACCTCAAGGGACTTAAACCAGTTTCTGCTTGCTTCTTAGCTGTACTCATTTGAATGCTTAAAACGAATCCTTTATTACTGCACTTTGGTTAGTGTACAATTTCCCCCCCAAATAAATGTTAACAAGTCCTTATTAATTACGTAAGTATTATGAATTCAACCCACTGGTTTGCAAATAAGAAATTCTAGAATAACAGTCAGCCTGTACCTTGTGGTATAAGACAATTTTGCATGTAATTTATCAATTGAATAAGATTATTCACCACAGCTTATCTTTAAAAATAGTGTTTTCAAAACATTTTTTAATATTAAAACAAAATATTAGACACAAGTGTTTCAAACAGCAAGTAGTATTGAATTTCTTCATTTTCCACAAAGCGATTTTGAGGAGTTTACCCACCGGCCTACCTTCTTCAGTTTAAGGCTCCCCAATCTAAGCCTTGAGATGACAAATGACATAGGGCCTAAAAAAAAAATAGCTCTTTCCCATGAAAAGTTAACATCAGATAATGTATTTCTGATACTATTTGCAATTTTCTTTTCAGTAAGAGAACAATCTAATGAGATTAGCTAACATGAGAATAGTTAAAAATAAGGATGCCAAGTCTGGGTATCACCTTCTAATAACACGGACTAGAAACAGCAAAGCAAGTAGGAAACTGATGTGAGATTCTGAAGCTCCAATACTGTTTCGGTCAATCATGACAGGACTCTCCTTTAACAAAACCTCCCTCAGAAAAAAGCATGCCAGAAAAGTAGTTTCGCTATTGTGCTACTGTTCTACAAAGAACCATGAGGCATACGAGCAGGTATGGTTGTTAAAAAGCTATACCTCACCTTTCTGACAACCCAACACTTATCCCAACCCTACAAAACTCTAAACCTCCACAAAGCAGATATTCTCTTGTATAAAAAGCCAAAACGTTTTCAGGTTGCCATTTTATATTACAACTACACTGAGTGGTTGCTTATACTAAAAAGCAAGAACTAAATATCACACCACCTCACATACCCCTATTTAAATACTATACAAAACTCAAAAGCAACAAAAAAAGCATTCATATCCTTTGCTGAACATTTCTCCGTAATTCAGAGTGTTACATTTTTAAAATGTCTCATGGTAACACAACAAATAAGCAAGTCCTTTTCTCACTCACACTGCATTTTTAATATACGTATACACAAACACACACGTACCTGACAGTTGTCACTGCTCTCTTTTTGAAGGAAGAATTGTTTTTTAAATTCATAATAAGCATTATACTGGTGCCATGGTTGCAGGAACTCAAATCTGTTAAAAGAAAACTGAATATGTGAAAATGCACATGAACATCGTAAATACCTACAATCGTTTGCCATCTAATTTTCTCTAGCAGATGGAATGCCAGTTGCTGTTTGGAAGCACTGTAACTTCTGCCTGAACTTCCAGAGGATATACATTCAGCGCATGCTTTCTAGAGACGTTTTTGTTAGGCTGGCTGTTTTGAGGATTTGGGCAATTTATGCTTTGGCATTACCTTTAAGTAGGTTTCCGAATTTCAGTTAAAAAAATGATAGCACTTGTCTTCTTGAGACCCGTATGTCCTGGCAATATGTTTGAAAATGAAAACCTCAAGGTTTAAAACGGAAGTTGAAATAACATTTTCTCTTACCTGAGATCATTCTTGGCACGAACACTGGTTTCAAATTTTATCCCATTTCTAGCAACATACTCAGCTAGCTTATCAATAACAGGTTGGATATCTGGAGGTGGAGGTATAATGGCAACCACTGGAGCAATTGTGCTGAAAACATCAAGAGTACATCGTTTTTATAAATGGGACATAAAAATCTTTCAGACTCTTGTTTTAACAAAAAAACATTACATAGCAGTTTGCTCTCTGGGTTCATTATGCAGTCAAAATTACTTAAATTTCCATCATGCAAAAACTTTGTAGTAGCTGAATAACAATAACTATGTACAACATCAAAGACTAAAGTGGAGGTAATCAAAGTTGTATAAACACCGGGGAACGTTACTGAGGAATCACCAATAATAGAACCATTCCTAAATACTTCACAGTGAAGTGCAGGAAAGAGACTCCTCCACCCAACCAGCAAATCTGTACGTGGTACCTTGTAGATGTTGTGGTAGAAGTCAACGCACTGCTGCTCTCAGTTGTGTCTGGGGGAGGTGGAGGTGTAGTACCAGGCGGTGGAGGTACTGTTGCTACCCCTGTAGTGCTTGATACAGTTACCCCTGCAGGCAACGCACTGTAGTAGGTGGCAACATCTATTCCTGGAGGCGGAGGCGCAAGGCAATAGGTTCCATCAGGTAGCATATAGTAACTATAATACATGGCTGCCACAGTTGCTATAAAAAGACATATTTAGGAACAATGTTATAATTAGAAAAGCACCCACTAAAAAAAAACAAACCAACCATAACATTATTGCATCAGTACAAACACACTGAGACACAACACACTAATAAATGGTATCTAATTTTTTTTTCTTTGGAGGGGGGGACGACAACGACGGGGTTTGAATAAAGAAGTGAACCAGAGAAGGCCTATTAAAAATTGAGTTAATATGAAATAATTCTTCCTGATCTAATTCACCTCTGGCAGTTTTACTCAGTTAAAACTATGTATGCATTAAGAAAGAAATGCGCATATATTTCAAAACTAACATTGAGAAATTAAACCACTAATATCGCTATATAGATATTAAATCACTATATTGTTGTATACAGACATACACTCACTTGCTGAAACCTCAAAAAGTAGACAGTTTTCCAATTTATCACCAATAGAATGAACAACTTATTTGAGCAAGTTTTTGACACTAGAGGCTTCTCCAACTCTAAATATTTATTTTTTGAGAGTGCAAAGGCTTATGGCTTGCTTTCTTTCTTTCAAGACATTATTTTATAATGCTTTAATTAGCTTAACACTTTTAAATGGCAGTCATTTCTTGTAAATCTAAAGATTTTCTGCATATAAACAGAAAGTATTCAGGTAAAATATTTCAGAGGATTTACAGTAAGAGTTTACATTTCTAGAGGCAAAGTTTAATCAACGCATTCAATTATAATGAATTATCCTCTTAAAAATGTTCATAAACCTTCCTGTGTGGCAGCATTTACTTTTTTCAAAGAATAAGTCATTGGTAAGAAGAGCAGAATAAAGACCTGTTAAGTTTTAAAGGCAGGGAGGAGCTGTAAACTTAACTTGCGCTGCTACTAAATTATAATCGCGCAGTTTGCAACATAGACATTCAGATGCAAGCCTAACATGCAAGTAATCAGAAAACTGATGAGCATTCCTCTATGGAGATATGTATTCTGATTTTAGTCTTTTTTTGAAATGACCAGTAATTTTCAATTTGTTCACAGAAACATTATTTCAGTTTTGTTAAGATTCTCTTAAGGTACACTTTTAAATAAAGATCACTTTCATGCACATTCCTCTCCATCTAATACATTCTGACAAGACCTGTAATCATTTGAGGGGTTCTGAACCTACAATGCATCAAAATCAACTTAGACCATTATGGTGACACTTATTTGCAACAACATTACCAAAAAACCAAGAACTCCATCATCAGCAGCACCACTTTGAAGTTAACACTAGTCATTACCTACAAATTTATATCATTATAAAACTCTACTGTAGTGAAGGCTGCAATACAAAATTTTCTTTCATCTCAGTAGTATCAAATGGTAAGTCACATAAATGAAAGGATAAATTACATTTCTGTATAGGAATCAAGGACTTTCAGAATTCTGAAAAGAATTAGAGGCACACATATCCAATTAAGTTTGTCTTCACCTTTTTGAGTATCAGAATTTACAAAATTTGCAGGAGCTTTATAAGGCCTGCATGAAGTAGCTTCAAAGATAATGGAAACCAGACACATCCAGAGAAGTTAGGAAAATGTTGCTAAGAATTTCACAGCAAAGTTGATTCTTAGAAGAGGTTACACACAGGACATTTCGCTGAAATGGTTCAAGAAAAATCTAAGATTAAAGATTTAATAATAATTTGGAGATAGGAGAAAGCCTTGGTATTTCAGTATCAGGCATGGAAAAAGCATACAACTTTCCACATTACTCACTTATAATTTAAATATATCACTGATTTTGTTGTTCTTTTGAGAAAAAAATAAAATAGAATAAAGAATGGCCTCTTGTAGTTATGGAACTTAAAAGTTACTACTCCTTCTCAGATATTGTAATGAGAAATACAATTTAAAAGATCAATTTTTAACTTGGAATCTTGCATATTCCTGAATTTTATTTTCTACACAGAACACTGCACCACTGTACAGAATAAAAGATGAAATAATGAAAAATTATAGGAATTGACTGTATAATAAAACTTACTTATTTACTGTAAAACTACTTCCAACTTCAGAACAGAATACTATACTAAAACCTGGCTTTATGACTTCAGTGGGATCCTTTAATTTACATTATTTTACCTTTGCAGATTTGTCTTAGTGCTAGACACTCCATCAAAATTGTTCAAAGCAGATTTATCATCTGCATTTTGCTTAATATAGTAAGCTTTTTTATGGGAATCTCATGAATTGCTTTATAGGACAATTTCATACTCAACAGTGAAGACATTCATTAGAGTTCATTAGTGGAAGCTGATGGAAGTGAAAAAAAAACCCATGAAGGGTCCTGTGCTAACCGTACGCACAGGCTGGAGACCTGGCCTCCTGCCTGCCCACCCCCTCCACCCTATTTCTGTTTTCCTGAGTAGCATACAATTTGATAGATACTCAGTGGAAGAATGCACCTTCAAAGACTCAGGAGATTGAAAAAGAAGAAATATCAGTTATAAACAATCAAGTATGAAGCTAACATTTTTTCTTCCCACCAGCATCCACATACAATTCATCACAACACACCACCAGCTGCCTAATCACAATGCGCTTACAATCAGAATATTCTGCTTGCGATGTCTGTACAGCTGCCCCGTCTGTTGACTGTGGTGCAGATGAGTTATTATCTGATTGCGCTTTGCGCACCAGTGCTGCAAGTGGATGATCAGGGTCTACTACCTTCAAAGGCTGAAAAAATTTTGAGAATAGAAAAAAAGATTAAAATTTGAAGTACATATTTAAAGCATGACAGCATCAACCCAATTTGGAAATCAAATTTATCTAAGTTAATAGGCATCAATAATATTGTCCAATCACTGAAGTTATTGTCTTTGTAGTGCTCACATCAGAATCAATTTCTCTTTTTTTTTTTAACATTTGTGGAAAACAAAACTAAAAATACTTTAATGTGAACAGAAATCCATGAAATGGGAGGGGGGAAAAAAAGTATTACTCTTACTTGTTTACTGCCAAGGCTGGGATAAGACACTGAATCTGACTTGTCTAAATATCAGACAGCACCACTGTCATTCCTCTGAAAGCCTCAAATGTGTACAACCATCTGTCATTCCCATTACTTCATAACTGATCAAACTCAGAAAATAAAAATAACACATCCAGCAAAATTTACATTTAATCAGCAGTATTAATTCTGCTGAAATTGTTCACTGAAACTATAACTTCCATGTCAACATTTTATGTACTAAAATCTGAAAACATTCCCTCTCAGCTTATATACAGAAGGCATTAAGTATCTTAATCTTTTCAGCTTCAGTACAGGTTCTGTGGGATAAATCATTGATTCATGCCAATACCAGAGGGCATCAAAAATAGAAACATAATTCCTTACAAATAGAAAAATAACAATTTACGTACTAGAGGAAAGGTAACTTGAAAGTTTACCAAAACAGACTTAAATTATTAAGACACAGTCTGGGAAAAAAAAACCCAAACAAAAAAAACCCCACAAACTTTGTTAACAAAAGATCTTAACATCTGCATATTAGAATTTCTGTGCCCATTAATCAGATGTTTTACAAGGTAGAAACTAATTTTAATAGAGTCAAGTACCTTCATGAGCTCTTCAAGCCTACTGCATTTTTTAGATGCAAAGAGACTCGGATGCAGATAATTTCCATCGTCATCATCATCATCATCATCTTCTTCCTCTGATTTGACTCTTGAGTCTAAATAAAAGTAATGTCTGAATTTTATTTGGGTTTGCTATGGATTTGTATCGGGAGAGAAAGATGGTACAGGACACGCATACATTCTTAAGAAACTACGGTTTCCATAAATCTGTTTATTCACAAAAGCATAGATACAAGAAGATATTGCTAGTCATCAATAAAACTAAAACCTAAGTGCACAGACCAGCTTTCTGTTGGACTAAAACTACACAAGCATTTCTAAAAGCTCCAAGATCACAGCAGCTCTTGTACCTGACAGTTTCCCAAAACAATCTTTTAGGAATCTTAGCTAATTTAAGCAAAATTTTGAATCATCACATCAATCTCAGTTGCAGGATAAGAGTATTGCCATTGAAATGCACCACAAAGATGTGGCTATTCTACCAAAAAAGACCAGTGGATGTTTAAATGATTCACACCCTGAAGCCACCCATTTGAGAAGCAACAACTTACGCTTTTTCTCGTCCGCTTTATTTTCAGAAGGAGCCGCGTATCGTCCCTCTTTCATAGCCTTCTGAATGAATTTGTAGTAAGGATTGAGGTAGTGATCAAATCGCAAGAAGTCAAACTGGGAGTTCCGTGCTTGCTTGGCTTTTAGCATAATCTCAAACTGTGCTCCCTGCTTGCAGACAAAGTTTGCAGTTCGTTCTATAATAGCATGCATTTTTGCTGTTGGTGGCTGTGGGAGTAAAATAACATATATTTGTATTTTCATAAGCAGCTTGTAAAGTGTGTTACAACTCCAGAGGGAACTAGAAAGAGCAGTAGCTCCCTGCCCCTCTTCTCAGCTTTCTCTAGCAACTCAGTTTCATAATCACTTTCAACTACTGAAAGCCTATCAGCACTGAAGAAAACCAGTCCAAATCTTCCCTAGCTGCTCATTCATTTCCTCCTGCAAGATCCTCTCCTTCTATCAGCAGAACTATTTTTTGCCATTGCACACCAAACTGAAGAGGGTAACAAATTCTGGTCGAGTTTGATTTAGCAAAAAAATTCTCTTAAGCCAGCTACACTCCACAGCCATATAGACACTTCTGTGGCACAAGACAGGAGGCGTGTTTCTTGACAGAGCAGTGCCAGCTTAAAGTGGTCCTGCCCTACAATAGCTCAAAGTGCTCTGAAAACTCAAAACATACGGTCCTCTTCCCAACAGCTGTTCTTTATTCTGTTATCACTGAACGTGCAAATACTGTTCCCTAACTTGAAAAGGCTGTTACTATGCATTTGCCCGGAAGGAACATGTATCTTAAGACCAACGTAAGAATTGCCATTCCTATATGCTGTCACATTCCCATAAAGAGTCGCTGAACACTTTAACAACAGAAGAAAAAAGAAAATTAATAGAGTTAAGCAGCATCCACACATCTCCACTCCTGAAATCCCCTGTAAGGAGCACTGCTATATCAAACCCAAGAAGTGAAAGGAACAAGAATACAGTTAAAGAAAAAATGAACGTCGCCATTCACTGTCTCTCATTTCATACTCAGATAGCTCTGTTTTGTCTTGTGCTCAATAAACTGTAGAAACACATACTGTGTGTGCCTATAAAGACTGAAGGATCACATTAATGACTCGTTTTAGCTTTACATTGTTATTGGTCCAGATACAGAAGCACATTGCAAACCTCAGAAAATCTTTTTCAGAAGATTGGAAATACATGAGACAGTGGTGCTCTATTTGGGGGAAAAAAGTCTGAATATGATCAAACAGCACATTTTTAGAAATTACTTTCAGTCATTTGGATCCTTTACTAGAATAACATGTTCCATACGGAAAATAATTAGCTGTTTCAAGTTTTACTTGTCCCTCTAAAACACTACCAAAGATTATTTTAATTAGAGGCCATGAAGTTCTCAACTAACTGATAACATTCTGTGCATAGTTTCACTATTTAATCATACACCAAGTTTCTCTATTTCTGTGGTTCTTACGCAGAAAAACAAAATATGCCTAAGGCCAAGAGATTCATAAACAAAGCTGCAAATCAGCAAGGAAGCTCAAAAAAGATTGTATCTGAAATTACTATCTGGTCTTGAATTTGAAACCGATATCACTACGTTCTGGAAAACTGGCACTATGAATATTAATATGCTTTTACTTGACTTCTAAGATTACCAACATCACTGATCTACAAGACTTCAGAAACTTTACAAAGTGAAAAACAGTAAATGGCAAATAGAGATATCATAGACATACTCTAGTTTGCCACTACATTTAATAAAACCACTAAACATTTAAACTGAGAACTGTTAAAACTTCTGAAAGTAAGAGTACTTGCCAGAGCTCAGAAAAAACCCTTCTGAAAAATACTCCAGTGACATAAGTGCTATCATCTAGTCAGATATTCTGTTCCAACCTTTTAGTATTGTAATTAAACGTTTTTCATGAGTGACTGTCCCTTACTGCAAGTTAAGCAACTATCCTCCAATCTGAAGTAAGCCTGGAAAATAATTTTAAGCCTTATGTTGCCTCTCAATATTCTCATCTGGAAAAAACAAACCAATTCTCAATCTCTCCTCAGAAGTTTAACCAATAATACCCTCTCACGGCCAACTTCCATAGCATCTGCACACTTCTTAGAATGCAATGGTCAAGAACAGTCATCTCTGTCAACAAAACTGACATCAACAGTCTTTAGCAGTGGAAGACCTCCTGCATCCTTGACACAACTCTTCTATTTTAAGTTCCAGAATGCCATTACTGCGGCAACTCGAGTTGCCATGCACTCAAGATTCAAGAGCTCACTACAGCCTTGGGATCTTTTTTGCAGTAGTGCTGCCTAACTACTTAGCCTTCATCTAACAGTTGCACTTTGGATTGTTCTGTGTTACAGGAACTATTTTATATCTGTCTTTACTGAACTGCACCTTAGAGATTGTGAACAACATCTCCAAGTTAGCAAGCTGATTCTCAAATTTCATCTTACTTCCAAGCACTAGTTTCCTCCCCAAAATGATTCAAGGTTTACAGGTGTCCTCCCTTCTCCATGACCATCAACAAGTGCCATGTCTTTTAACTTGAATGTTTCTTAGCAGTAAACTCAGAAGACCTAGAACACCACTGTCATTTCCACAAATCACCAATGTATCTGTACACATTTTCCAATTACTTGTGGATCAATGCAAGGCAATGAATTTATGATGTATTTCTCTCTTTTTTTTTAAATGGGAACAGGGTAGAGTGAGAAGTATTTTTTAAACATGCCTGTAAAAGCCCACCAATGATGTACCAGGCTTCTACCCTTCACAGCAACTGAATTAAAAAATACAGAATAAATACATTCAGTGGCAAAACCTGAATGACTTGACTAGAACAACAACAACAAATTAAGGCTCAAATAAAAAAAAAATTCTCACAATTCCCAATCCAAGGTCAAGTATACATTGTTTTCAGAGCTGCTGTCTAGACATATTTGTTTGGTTTTTTTAAATCAAAACCAAATATACCCACATTTGCTTTCTGTTCATCTGAATATAATGAGTATATGAATATATGAGTAATTACTTTCATAAGCCCCCCACCACATTCTGCGACTTACACATAAAACGTGTCTTTAAGTTTCAGAACACAATTCAAGCAAAGTAGCTATCTACAACAGCAAACATTCTTTCACCACCAGTTACTCTTTCAAAAGAGCACCCAAATGCTAAATAAGAAGCTTCTCACTGAGAACTCAATGGTCTTATTTCTAAGACTAAAGTATAACTCATAATTTAAAGGCAATAATGTGTGAAAACTTTCCTTGAATTCCAAAGTACGTTTGTAAGTACTTCACTAACTAAATGTATTGTAAGATTGTAAAGAAAAGTAGAGGAAGTAAAATTAAGAGTTGCATATTAGCTTTGTTAAATAGCTCTTATTTTATATAAAAACCAGAATAGGATAAAAATTTTCAATTAAAAATGAATGAAGTAGAAAAACACACTTGCACAAATAATTGTGTTCACTATTAGCTATTCTAACAGAGTCCTTTGACTCTTTACAGGCCAAGGTTATCAAGTTGAGAAGGCAGTCCAAATATAAATTAACACTTTCATGACCATGGTGTCGGAGAAAGTATTATCTGACTTCCCAGTATCTTTTATAAAACTTGAAATAAATTGAAAATCCTCATGGTTACAACTGTACTCAAGCAACTGACTGTTTAGCTCCCTTCAGGAAAACCACACAAGTTGCAATTAAGTTTACAGTTTACAACGTAGCAAATTCTGTAACATCACACGAAGCTTCTATATGCTAATACTTTCAAATTATTTCAGAATTTTCTAGAAATCAACTATTGCTTTTCTCCTTGAATTGGCTAGTGTTATACACAGCTTTTATATCTGATCACTTCCTACCCTCTTCAGGTTGGGACTCAATTAAAATGAATCCACAAAAAAAGTCTTGAACACAATCTATCTTTCAGTTTAATGGTCCTTTACATTTAGAATGCCAACCTTGACATCTCAGTAAGTATCCGTTCCAAGAACAACTGCCTTTTTTCTGCATTATCTAAAATAACATCACAAGTGATACTAAATGCACTTGCATAAGCACTGCAATAATTTCAGCGTGAAAAAGATTCAAGAGAGTTCATAGAACTCAAGAATTCAAGAAAGAACATTTGAAATTAAGCTACTATTTTAGATTAACTTAAAATGTACCACACAAAAGTTAATGGAAAAAAAAAATCAGTAAAGTACCACCAACTCCTTGAAAACTGACAGAAATGTAGGTTGCATTAAATGTACACACATACCAGTTCCACATCAGAAGGTACATTGAGTCCTGGAGGGGCAACAAAAGGTTCTTCGTTTTCTTCTACATTTTCTGACTGAGCTGCTTCTACAAGAAATGACAGAGTAAAACACTATAGGACAAAATGTGTCAAAGTACACAAATTTTAACAAAAAATTATTAAAATAAAGTATATCTGAAAGGATGTGCAATCACGGAATTTCTGAAATGAAACTATAACCAGCATTTGCACTGAAGACATCTAAACGCGGTTTCTCTCTCTGGTGTTATGTGTAGTTTATTTAAGATTGCATAAATTACATCTGAATAGAGGTATCAGGAAGTTAGCCCTGACTACAGTGCTGGAGACAAACAAGTGTCAAATCAAGTAGAAAACATTCAATTTCATGAATATTCCTTATTTTTTTTTATAAGAAAACCCATGAAAAATTAAGCAGTACCATTTTCAATGCACTGAGTGAACCCTTTCCTAACAGTGATTAAAATATTACAGATCTCTCTAAAGCTGTTAAGACCTGTCATCTGGTCTATCTGAATTCAGGTCCCTGTAAATCAACCATTTCAGCCTATGTAAACAAATCTTTCATCAGCTTCCTAACCCTAATGAAAGTTGCACACGAATGCAATAGGGAGGCTAAAATCAGCTTTCATCATCTACAGAGATAAACCAGGAGTTGCCTTAATAATTGATTAAAATTAATGTTGCCATTCATCTGAGAGTTCGGCCTAAAGCTGGTATGGTTCCTTTCATACCAAGTTTAACATATCCAAATATTTAACAGATTTATCACACGAACTACTCATCTAAAATAGTTTTTCTTTTACAAAGGCCACTTTTTATTACATTCTGTTATTTGGTATACCAGAAACATTCCTCTGAAAGTATTTTGCTTTACAGATTTTTATAATTATTGCAGTGGAAAGTTTACTTTTTAAAGTAACTTCTAGTATTAGCTATTCTATTAGCTTTAAGAGAAAATGTATTCCAGTTTTATAATAACAAATTAGATAGCACAACTGCATGAAAATCTGACTTATGGGAACCCTGGACACAGCAGAACAGTCTAATCACGCATGATGTCACAGCAATTATTGCACACAAGATCTTACCCATGCAAGAAAGAGAGTTAACTTTTTTGATTGCTGTCTGGTGGGTTTCCTTTTTACTTTTTAAATGAACTCAAACAGTTTAACTCTCCAAAGGCACACAGAAATTTTCACACCAAGGAAAGGAGGAAGAAGCAGCAGACAAAGCAGAATAGGACTGTTTCTTTTGGCAGCAGCTTCAGCTAACACTTGAAGTTTTCACAGAACTACCGCCTGTAATTCACATTACTGTTATCTAAATCTTCCAATATGTGGGCTTCTTCTATTATGATTTATAAAAAATTCATCTGAAGAATTTATAGTCCTGTATTATTGGAAATGTTACCATATAGCAATCTATTAAAAATCTGTACAGTTCTGCTACAGCAAAACATAATACCAATGTTTCCATTTCATGTTTGCACCAAGTACTTCTTCACCCAAGTACTATGAAGTGTTACCAGAAAATGCCTCTTTGTTATCCATCATTACTAAAAATTTTCCAGAAGATAAAGAGTTTGGTAAGAAAGCTCACAACTGAGACAATGTTCCAATGACCTGCTATAAGGATCTCTACTTCTGGCCAGCAGCACTGAGAATTCTCACATTACACCACAAGATTTTGCAATAGCCTAGCATGACACTTCCACGCTGCATCAAATACTAATTAACTAACTTGTTGAAAGACTGGGTAGTTATATCTCTCTTTGTCAATGACTATATTATCACAATTTAACATTATTCCTAAAAATACGGCTTCATTAAGACTGAAATACATTATTTTAGATATCTCATCATTCTAGGAAACAAAAATGACGTAGAGCAATCCAGTCACAATTTGAACTTGTGACAGCTCTCTTACCAAATGAAACTGGAATTTTAATTTATTCCTTACACACTTGATCAAAGGTAGAACATTATGGCACATTTTCTTCCTGTTTTGCAAAAAAAAAATTTTTAGTGACCAACAGACATGGGGCATTCATGCACCTTTTTAATCTCTATGAAGCAGAGGAACATGTGGGAGCCAACATACAAACATATTCTTCTTTATCATCCCCAATTTTTCAGTAGGCTTATCCCTATATATACACAGATCCACATAACACGAAAAACACCCCTATGACAAGAAACACAAACTGTAAAGAGAACCCAGAAACGATTTGGTTATTTAATCTACCAGACAAATGGGAATAAAACTGAAATGAAACCCAGAAAAGCCAACACAATTCAGCATCAGTACTGAAGAGTACAGGAGAAACCCTTGGTAGAATGCAAGTGGCATGGACACTGCCCTGAGACAACCTCTCACACACAGGGGCAAAAACCACCAAAAACCCTTTAGCATCTAAAATGATCCTGCATTGTAGCACACACCTTGTTAAGCACATCTCATACCACAGTAACCCACCAATACATAGTTAGGAAACCAAATCGCTAATGAAACAATCCTAACTTTACTGAGGCACAGCTCAGTAACACTTGAAAGCTTCCTTAAGATTTCATGTTAAAAATGCAAAGTTACCATAATTAAAAGATGGGAACACGAGAACCTGAACTCTGCATTTTTTAAGACCACGGAGGGGGCAGCTATGTTGAAGAGAGATTCGTTTATAATTATTGAGATGACATATTCTAAACTTATAAAAAATATACATTCTGGTCAATTACTATTATTTTATTTGTATTGATCTTTTCCTTCTTGGTCAAGAAATACAGTGGTAACAGACAGCCATGTGACTAATTACTAGTTTTTTTCTGAATAAGAATCTGCAAGAGAGCAGAATTAAATTTCCTACCCTGACTACTGCAGTATGGACTGTGCCGTAGCAGGGAAAGATTTAAGCACATCAAGAGCGAAGTTTGTAAAAACTCAGTAGCACTGTTTTCCATAGATTTTGCTGAAATGCTTTGAGATTTTTTAAGTGTTATTTTAACGAAACACACATTTTCAACCTTCAGCTGCAAGAGACACAGGATGACATGTTCTTCCTGACAATTAACCCTTGATATTTTTACCCCTTACCTCTTTGTTTTGCAGGCTGATGCTCCTCCTCCTCAGTGGGTTCTGAAGGGTCATAATAATCACTGCCATAACGGAATCCCACTGCATTATAGGTACCATCCTCTGCCAAAGCTTCACTCAGCCTTTTATATTCCTCCTCTTCAACAAAAATGCAATTACCAATCATTAGAACATATTTAAAAGCTAATTTTTTAAAAAAAAAAAAAGTAATTTCTTACTTTAGTTTTTAAATGAGAAGTTTTCACCTAATCATTTTAACTTTCATTAAAATTGAAAAATGCAGCATATGCATATGCTGACCATTTATTTCTTCCTGAAAAGATAAAGGCTGCGGGTTAAAACATTCTACTGTAATTATGCATACAAAAGAACAAAATTTCATTTATACAACACTAAAAAAGAAGCAGAATGTGTTTATTTGGGGGGTTTTTGGGTCTGAAATCCCAGTCTGCCCTCAGAATCTGGGCAATTTCTGAGTGGATCAATATTTAAACTATCCTGAGGTCCTCTCACATACGCAAAGACTCCCGTTTTTCGAATCCACTGGGGTACTGTCAAGATAACATCAGAAAAAGAGAGTATAAAATTAGGAGTAAATTTAATTTCATAATTATTTATTTAAACATCTGCTAAACTCAGGAAGTTTCCTTTAGCAATACCTTGCCTCGCCTCCTCCTCAAGCAAGTCCGTATGCAAGGCTAAATACCTCTCTTCATCACAGAGGGCTTCTATTCTAGCCTCCTCTTCAGACAGTTGATAATCTCGGTTCCACGTGGAATACTCAGCATCATATTCAGAAAGGTCATGTAGGTGACCACGCCCATCATACCTGCAAGATGAAGCAACTGGTCAATGCAAAAAACTTAGGGCTTGGGTTTATGCGACTACTTAAATACTTACCCATTAAAAATGAAAAAAAAATACTTATATGTTAAAGCATATTTCCTTTTAGAAGTTACGTTTAATTTTGCTAATCATTTGTCACCAACTACCGAAAATTTGTTTAACAGTCTAAATTCCTCTCAGAGAAACTAATAAATTATTACAATTAAAGGCAAAGGTATCCTTTAATAGTTTAAGTGGGATCCATTTCCTTAACAGCTCTTACCGTACGTGCTTCAACCAACCAATCAATGTCACTTGCAAAATACGTTTTTCTGGAAAGTCAAATAGCTTACATTCACACAAACCCGAATACATAAATACCTATCCGTAAGAACCAAACGGTCGAAATTTCCTCGCTTCTTTCTGCTAGTCCCGAACTCTCAGGAGATATCTTCACCATAGAAACTTGCGTCCATTGGAGGTAAAATCATGGCTAGGCTCGGCCCCTAGCCATTTGGCTGAGGAAATAAGTTCTGGGTTATGTGATAGAGAGACACACATACATAGGAACAGTAACATATACATGCAATTTAAGGAGGTTCACCGTAAAAACGGCAAAGATCAATCATGTACAGTTCCTTTCTACTAAGCAGAAACAATTTTATTTGCAGGAAAAGCACTGCATTGGGATAATGTTTATGCATCAATAAAAGAAACCGATTGAATAGTAAAGTGACAGTAAACTCGACTCCGCTGAGGTGTCTTCCCACACACAACTCTTGACTTGTGCCAACTTGCTAGACCAAAAACAAAGAAAGTAAATATTCTTATTGTCAAAAGTTAATGAAACACGTAGGTCTGGTTAATCAAGCTCTGTCCACAGGCAAACTTCAACCCACATCTTCTCATAGCAATGTGCTTTTCTCAAAATGGTGAAAATGAAGACTTCCTGCTGCTGGAGATAAAAAGACTCTAAGCTTCCAAAGGAGTTTATAAGATTAGTAATTGCAAGCTACCTTAACTTACAAATGTATGTTATTTAGATTTTTTGGTATATGTACGTACATGCACACACCTAGTTTTTGCTCCCAACAATTTCTGTAACGCCTCTAAGTTGGGTTACTGTTGCACAGGACCATAAAAATGGCCTCTACCTACTAATGAAATCTGTCAAAGTGATCAGAAGTGCGCATCATAACACTTCTATTCTCTTGTAAGAAAGAAATGAAACATATCTACAAACATCTATGGTTGTTTTTTCATGCCTTTGTGTTGTTTATTCCAATTTAACAAATTAATTTCAATCACAAAAATCATTAATGGCGTAAATTCCAAATTAGTTGCAAGGGCATTTCTTTTTTCTACAGTCTTATGGAAGGAAATGAAAAGACCTTCCCTTACTGATATTTTTCCAAGGCAAATACAGCTGTTAAATCAAAACAGGAAAAATCACGTATAGCACCATAGCAATAATGAAATTGAGGGAACAAATATCTATAGTATGTCATGTGATCCTTTTTAAACAAAAATCCTTCCATCTTTCCCACTGAGGTTTTCAGGGTCAACCACAACTCTCAAATTGTACTTTCAGTGCTCTGCCCAAATACAGCCAGCCTGACCTCCCATCTTCTCCTCCCTCCAGGAGAATATTCAGAAAATTCATTCTGAATTAATTTATTTCTAAATCCCACCCTGCACTGCTGAAACAACTTAGAGACCAGAAAAAACATCAGAGCAGATTCCATTACTCTCCCTGGCCATGCACCTGCACCTACTGCGAAACAACAAAAAAAAGCCACCCCTGACATAAAGTTTGAAACGCCAGCACTCAAAATGAAAGCCATTCTGCCTAATACAGTGAACCATGGCACAAGGAAAAAGTGGTTAGGCCAAGAATTGCTTTTGGGGTATCCCAGCAACGGCCTGCAGCCAGGTTACGTAGGAGAAATAAGGAACCCCCATTTCCCCTCAGGTGGGCAAACACCTTTCCACTCTGCACACTGCGCCCTTCTCGCTTCGAGCACACACAAAGTGCCTAACAAGTATTCCCATGCAGTAAGGCTCCCTTGGTTTCCAAGTGAGAAAAGAAGATGCTTGCAGTTTGCACCGAAAAGGAACAGATCATGCCCAGGCTCCGCTCCGCCCTGCACACCCTGCCCTAGCAAGCGGAGCAGAGAGACCCAGGGCACACCGACTGTTAGACGGGGGGGAACCCCCAGCTCCCGCTGCCGG